GTCATCATCATCACGATCATCATCATCATCATCATCGTCATCATCATCTTCTTCTTCCTCATCATCATCACCACCATCCTCATTCTTATCATCATCATCATCATCATCATCATCATCATCATCATCATCACCACCACCACCACCACCATCACAACTGATACCACTTCTTCTCCTTGTACTTATTCTTCAGCTGTGTGGACAGACCGGAGAAGACCTCGGCGTTGACCTTCATTAGGGCCGTCCGGTCCTCAAGGTCACTCAACTTTTCGCCCCTCTCGAGGGCCGCCTTAATAATATTACGGGTAATTAGTACTGTATTAAATATTAAGTACTATATTAAAGGTCAAAAGATTATTACTATATAAATGTCAAAGGATCAGTATTATATTAAAGGTCAAAGGATCAGTATTATATTAAAGGTCAAAGGTTAAGTCCTATATTAAAGGTCAAAGGTTAAGTATTTTATTAAAAGTCAAAGGTCATTATTTCGAGTACCCTCGCTTCAGAGGTATCAACGACACACACACACAAACGCACACATCCACCAACACTTTATCGTTACACCACCACGAATAAATGAAAGAATGAACTAATAAATGAAAGAATGAATGAATGAACAAATGAAAGGATAAATGAATGAATGAATGAATAAATGATGATTGAATGAATAATGAATGAATGATTGAATGAATGAATAATGAATAAAAGGATGAATGAATGAAAGAGTGAATGAATGAAAAAGAGAGCGAGCTAGAAACCTGTCTGGCTTTTGAAATCTCGGAGCACGAGGTCTCAGCCCCAACCTGCAACTTCTCCATGTGGTTCACGTGCTGGGTCAGAGTCCTGCTCGCCTTTCCGCTGCCCGACTCGCCGACTGTTGTTGATGATGATGATGATTGCGATTGTGATGATGATTGTGATGATGGTGATAATGATTGTAATTGTGATGATGGCGATGATTGTGATTGTGATGTAGATTAGGATGATGATGATGATTGTAATTGTAATGATGATGATTGTGATGATGATGATGGTGATGATGATTGTGATGGTAACGATGATAATGATGGTGACCGTGTCTACAAACACACACACAAACACACACACAAACACACACACACACACACACACATAAACACACACAAACACACACACACTCACACAATGCATCTCTGTCGAGGGCCTTATTTGAACTCTCGAAAATGTTCGAGAAGAAACTCGGTTTCGGCGCCTCTGGAACCTCACGTGGTACGAAAAGTTCGCCATAAAGTTGGTTGATCTGCTCGCTGGGTAGGTGGATGGATGGGTGGGTGGATGGATAGGTGGATGGATGGGTGGGTGGATGGATGGGTGGATGGATGGGTGAAAAGATATATAGATGGATGGATGGATGGAAAGATGGGTGGATGGATGAATAAAAAATTGGAAAGGTGGATGGATGGAAAGATGGGTGGATGGATAAAAAGATGTATAGATGGATGGATGGATGGATGGATGAAAGGTAGATAGATAGGTGGATGGATAAGTGGATGAATGAAAAGATGGATGGATGGATAAAAAGATGGATCAAAGGTGGATGAATGAATTGACAAAATAATGTATGGATAGATGAATGACTAGATGGAAAGATGGATGAATATCTATTCATCATCATCATCAACACTATACCCATAACTCATCATCATCATCAACATCATCTTCATCATCATCATCATCATTACAATCATAACCACCACCTCCTCCATCCTTCCTCACCACCACCCACCAGCACAACTCACTCATCTCCATCGGTGATGATGAACTTCTGGAGTTCGGAGGGTGAGTGCATGTAAAAGCCGTGGCCGTGGTCCGATAAGGTCAACGTCCTGAAGAACCCGATGCTGATGACGATTATGATGATGGTGGTGGTGATGATGATGATGTAACTGGTGATGATTATGGTGGTGATGATGATGTTACCGGTGATGGTGATGATGTTACTGAAGATGATGCTGACTCACGCATCATCATCACAGCATCCACCACCATCATCACAGCCACCATCGTCACACCACTCCCATCACAATCATCACCCCCACCACCACTACCACTGATACCACTAACACAATCATTCCACTATTCCAATCACAACCGCCACCATTACCACCACCACGATCATTACTTGGAACTTCTATCCTCGCAGCTGATGTCAGAGATGATCTTGAGGGCTGGCAGTTGGAGGAGCAGGAAGTGGTGGCTGGTCAGTGCGACCACCAGTACTGGGACATCTGATGATGATTATGACGATAGTGATGATGACGATGATCATCGTTGTCATCATCATCATGTTGTAGTTGTTTTAGTCACCATCATCATCACCATACCTTTCTTCGTCATCGTCATCACGATGATGATGATGATCATCATCACCATAACCTTTCTTCGTCATCATCACTATCATCATCGTCGTGACACCTTTCATCATCATCACAATCATCATCATCATACTCATCACAATCATCACCACCACCATAACAATCATCATCATCATCATCATCATACTCATCACAATCATCACCACCACCATCGTCACCTTTCATCATCATCGCTTCAGCCTTGACGATGAAGCCATCATCAGTCGTCTTGTACTTGTGCAAGCAGACCTGGCTTGGCTCGCTGATCACCTGATGATGATGATGACGATGATGATGACGATGATGATGGAAAAGAAAGGTATGGTGATGATGATGATCATCGTTATCATTATCATATATATCATGTCGTTGATGATGATGATGATGATGTCGTTGATGATGATGATGATGATGTCGTTGATGATGATGATGATGATGTTGATGATGATGACGATGTTGATGATGATGATGATGATGATGATGTTGATGATCATGATAACGGTGACGACGATGATGATGATTGTAACGAAGAAGATAAAGTATAATGACGACGACGAATGTATGAGTGAATGAATGAATTGGTAAATGAATGAATGAATGGGTAAATGAATGAATGAATGAATAGGTAAAAGAATGAATGGGTGAGTGAATGAATTAAATAATGAATGAATTAATAGGTGAATGAATGGCTGGATGGATGGATGAATGATGGATGACGACGACGATGACGTCACTGACCCTTATCTGCCTGTCCGATACGAGAATGACCAAGAGGGCGCTATCGCTGGCCTCTGAAACTGATCGTTTAATTACCAATTAATTAATTAATTAATTAATTCATTCATTTATTCATTCATTCTTACACTCATACGTTCTTTTATACATTAATTAATTAATTACTCAAAGGCAGTTCATTCATTCGATCGTTAATTCACTCTTTCATTCATTCATTCATTCAATCAATCATTCATTCTTACACTCATACGTTCTTTTATACATTAATTAATTAATTACTCAAAGGCAGTTCATTCATTCGATCGTTAATTCACTCTTTCATTCAATCATTCATTCATTTACTCATTCATCCATCCCCTCATTCATTCATTCATCCCCTCATTCCTCCATTCACTCCTCCCAACTTTTTCCCTCCACTCTCCTCCTGCAGGCCGATCTCTCCTCATCTTTCCAGGCCATCTTGGGCGGTGAGATTATGACGGGGTTGGTGGAGGGTTCCAGGAAGAAGATGCCCAACAGAGGTCCTTTCAGACGGTAGATGGTGGCTGTATGGTGATGGTAGTGATGGTGGTGATGATGGTATGATGATGATGATGATGATGACAAAGAAGAAGATGATGATGGTGATGATGAAGAAAATGACGGATGACAGATTGGTGAATTTTCTTACTGCCAATTCTATCATCATCATCAGCACCCACGACTTCGCCATAATCATTACCACCCTATTATCGTCACCACCACCACCATCACAACTATCATTACTATCCCGTTTATATCATCCTCATCATCGTCATCACAATCATCAATCGTTCATTCATTCATTCATTCATTCATTCATCCATCCTTGCATTAATTCATCCAACCATTCATTCATTTATTTATTCATTCATTTATTCATTCATTTATTCATTCATTTATTCATTCACTCATTCATTCACTCATTCATTCACTCAATACGAACACGTAGGGACAACAACGAGGTTTTGATTGTGATCAGCCTCGTCATTCGTGCTTTCCTCCACCAATGGAGACGCCAGGATGGTGAGGACGAAGGCGGAGCCTAGGCTCGTGCCCAGCCACAAGCACGCTGATTGGCTGAAATCTGAAGGTAAAGGTTTTAATTGGTTTAAATTTAATATCGACGAGTGATTGGCCATCGTCACCATCATCATCATCATTATCATCATCAACCTATCACCATAACCCCAAATCATCACCATCATCAACCTATCACCATAAACACAAATCATCATCACCATTACTCCAAATCATCATCACCACCATCATCATAACTACAAATAGTAACACAATCATCATCGTCATCATCATCATCATGAACATCGTCATCATCATCATCATCATCATCATCACCATCGTCGTCATCATCATCATTATCATGAACATCACCATTTTTTGTTGGATAAGAATCCATGAACACCAACTTCTTCACGAACTCCTCATCAGCGTAATCACTGTTATCAGTGCTATCATCTTTCTTCTTTTCTGTGTGATGTTCATACATACATACATGCATACATACATGCATACATACATGCATACATGCATACATACATACATACATACATACATACATGCATACATACATGCATACATACATACATATATACATACATACATACATACATATATATATATACATACATACATACATACATGCATACATACATACATACATACATACATACATACATACATGCATACATATTTCTCACTCTATTTGCTTCCATCCGATCACTCGCTCCGAGCTGCTAACATTAGCTGGCAAGTTGAAAAACAAGAAATCTTATTCAGATGATGGATTAAATATGTTTCTTGTAAAAAACATAATATCCAATATAACAGTACCCCTTCTACATATTTTCAACTTATCTCTTAGTTCAGGAATTTTTCCGGACTGCTTTAAAACCTCGAAAGTTATTCCCATATTTAAAAAAGGAGATAATGCCGACATTAATAACTACAGGCCGATTTCTCTACTGTCTCCGTTGTCAAAATTACTAGAAAAAGCAGTTTACGTCAGACTATTTTCTTTCTTCGAAGTACATAAAATTATTTGCAACAACCAATATGGTTTTCGCCCTAGCCACTCAACGGAACTTGCTCTACTCGATTATGTCCATCACATCCTCTCCAAACTCAATGACAAAAAACTCTCAGTTGGTTTGTTTTTAGACCTTTCGAAAGCATTTGACGTTATTAATCACAGCATCTTACTTGATAAATTAAGTTGTTATGGTATTCGAGGAGAAGCTCTCGGGTGGATTCAAAGTTATCTCTCACATCGGAATCAATACGTCACTATTGACAATTACCAATCTTCAAAGGCCTTAACTTCCATTGGTGTACCTCAGGGATCAATCCTCGGCCCACTTCTATTCCTAATCTACATAAACGACATTCATAATATATCTATTGGAACTAAATGTATACTATTTGCCGACGACACGAATCTCCTATTTACTCCCGACGACATTTCATGTTCAGATCATATAAATTCGGTCCTTTCAGAACTTTCAAACTGGTTTTCTTCTAACAAACTTACTGTCAATCATTCTAAATGTTCTTACATAATCTTTGGACCCAAAATCTTAACTAACCAATCCAATAACTTAAACCTAATGCTGAATAATATTAAAATAAATCGTGTTCTCTCAACCAAGTTCTTGGGTGTGACTATTTCTGATAATCTTTCTTGGGATCTTCATCTCCAATCCATATCTTTAAAGATTAACAAACTCATAGGAATTTTCTACAACATAAAAAACAAGCTATCTCGTTCTTCTCTAAAAACTCTTTACAATGCCTTCATCTACCCCTATCTAACTTACTGTATACTTCTTTGGGGTCACAGTCCTAAAAGTCATCTTAACTGTCTGCATGTTTCTCAGAAAAGAGCCATCCGTCTAATATTTAATCTTAAACCTTATTCTCACACGAGATCCTTTTTCGTCGAGCACAATATCTTGTCACTACCTTGCCTTTACATCTACTTCACGGCTATTTTTGTCTTTAAATTTCTGAACAACTTACTCCCTCCCTCTTTTTCTAACTTTTATATTTATAGTAATTCCGTCCAAATATTGAACACAAGACACGCGTCTGTTATTTATCCATCAAAAACCCGCCTTAAGCTCGTTGCAACTAGTCTTAAAATTTTGGGCCCTAAGATCTGGCAATTATTTGTACCCCCAGATATTAGGGTTATCACTGAATTGTACCATTTTAAAATTAAACTGAGATCGCGGTTAAATTTGCTTGATCCCGACACCACCATCTAAATCTTAACCTTTTATATATTACACTATATATGGCTCATTTCATCGCTAATAATTATTTTAAATTCAGCATATGTTTCTGTCCACTTAGACTCGTTTATTCATCTCTTCAATCAATCCATACTTTTAATTATTGTATCAAATACTATAAATTATCTCACATTGCCAATCTACTTTCTGTTTTTGATTGTAGATTCATTAGTAATATCTGTATATACTTATATGTTCAGATATTAACTTTGGTTTTCGAGTGTTAATCCTACTGATTATATTTATCGATTTTTGCGTGCATTGAAATTTAATTTGTATATTTTCTGTTCTGTTTTAAATTGCATATATATCTCATGTAAAGTACTTAGGGTGGCCTCTCCACAAGTTTTTTCATTTAAACTTATTTGGTTCCCTTATTGAAAATAAAATATAAATAAATAAATAAATACATGCATACATACATGCATACATACATGCATACATACACATACATACATATATACATACATACATACATACATATATATATATACATACATACATACATACATGCATACATACATACATGCATACATACATGCATACATACATGCATACATACATGCATACATACATACATACATACATACATACATACATACATGCATACATACATACATACATACATACATACATACATGCATACATACATGCATACATACATACATGCATACATACATACATACATACATACATACATACATACATGCATACATACATACATACATACATACATACATACATACATACATACATACACACACACACACACATATTTTGGGTTTAGACTATCATAAATACAATTATTTATAAAGATCACAGTGATCTTTATAAATAATTGTATATATATATATATAATAATAATAATATAATAATAATAATAAATATATATATATAAATATATATATATATAATCTAAAGATAATAATTGTTATCTATAATGATGAAGAAGAGATAAAAATATTATTGTTACAGATGATGATGATGATGACGACAATGACGTGTTGATGATGATGATGATGACTTTGATGGCGGTGGTGATGATGATGACTTTGTTGGCGGTGGTGATGATGATGTTGATGGTGATGATGATGACGTCACTAACCTGTCTCCTAATTATGGAATGCATTTTTATAGTGTTAAAAGAAACTATGTAACTTAATTTATAAACTCCATCATCATCATCATCACAACCACTATCATCATCATCATCATCATCATCGGCGTCGTTATCATCATCGTCATCACCACCAACATAGTCATCATCATTCTCAGCGTTCTCACATTATCAAAATAAGTAAAAATCTTAGTGATGATGATGACGATGATGACGATGATGATGATGAAATTATGATGATGATGATGATGAAGAAGAAATTGTGATGATGATGGTGGTGAAATTGTGATGAAGATGATAATGGTGATTCGAAGATGATAATGATTGGATGCTGATGATGAAGACACGATGATGATGATGGTGGCGGTGATTCGATGATGATGATGACTGGATTCTGATGATGATGAAGACTCGATGATGATGATGATGAGTTCTTCAAAAGAATTTAAAATAATAAAAAAACATTGACCAAATTAAGGAGCAACCCAACTGAAAATAACCAAAAACATTCCAGAAATAATAATAACAATAGCGAAATAATAATAATAATAATAATTATTATTAATAGATATATTAATAATAATAATAATAATTATTATTATTATAATTATCAAATAATAATTATTATTATCATCGAATAATAATTATTATCATCAAATAATAATAATAATAATTATTATTACTATTTGATGATAATAATTATTATTATTATTATCATTATTACCTTAATAATCACCAATACATTCAATGTTACATAAACAGACTGAAAATAATAATAATAATAATACGCCCTACCTCGGGAAACTGGGTCTCTGGACGCAAAACGAAGATTGATTGATTGATTGATTGATTGATAATAATAATAATGCTAATAATAATAATAACAACAACAACAACAATAATAATAATAAAAATAATAACAACGATAATAACAATAATAATAACAAAAGATACTAAAATATCATTACTCCTACTATGACCACTGCAAACGAACCATCGGTTACAAGCCGCTTACAGCCTCTCGCGTAATCGCTGTATTCTGTAAACTTTGTAACTTTACATCGGAAGAAGGAGTCGTCGTCTGCTAGATCTCGAACTACAAAACGTGAGCGCTGTCGTTGCTGGTCATTTGAATGCAGCGGCGGCAGTGGCGGCGTGCCTGCTTTGGAGTGTTCTGATTGGTTAGAGAAGATTAACGTCAGAGGGTTTATGATGCTATTTTTAGCTTTTTCGAAAAATCGGGTTTTCCATTTTGTCGGTTGTTCTGGATTTTGTTGATGTTGATGTTGTTGTTGAGGTTGTTGTTGAGGTTGATGTTGTTGTTGAGGTTGTTGTTGCTGCTGCTGTTGAGGTTGTTGTTGTTGAAAATGTTGTTGTTGCTGTTGTTGTTGTGGCTGTTGTTGATGTTGTTGCTGTTGTTGTTGTGATTGTTGTTGTTGTTTAATCAAAATTTTTGGTGGCGGTGGTCGAGACGGCGGTTGCCGCTTTTTAGATTGAAGTTGCAGTGGCGTCAAAGATGGAGGCCGTTGCGGTTTTGATGATGATGATGATGACGTCGTCAATGATGGTGATGATGATGATGGTAATGATGATGATGGTAATGATGATGATGGCAATGATGGTGAAAAGGTGGACGATGATGATGATGTTGTTGTAGTAGCATGAGATAGTGGTAGCGATGTTGCTTCTGCTGCAGCTGTGACTAATGACGATGTTTGATGTGATAGTGATGAAGACGACGACGACAAAGATAATGGTAAAGATGATGATGTGGATGTGGGTGGTGCTAATGTTGGCGGAAGCGCCAGTGGCGACACTGGCGACATCGGCGGCAATGGTGGTAGTGGCGGTACCACTCTTCGCGATTTCTTCATGGATTCATTCAACAATTCGCCATCACCAGCAACACAACAACCACCAATAACATCATCATCATCGTCATCACCACGAACTTCGCTATATATGGTAGAATTGTTTTTCATGATTACAACCCAACCAGGCGAAAGCGGAGAATTGAGCGATTGTGAAGTCGCTGACGCCGCTACCACAGCAGCAGAAGCAGTAGTAGTAGTAGAAGTAGTAGTAGAAGTAGTAGTGGACGTCGTAGTATCGACTACAGCATCAGTAGTTGTACTTGTAACAGCATCAATAACATATTTAGTGGTACTGTTATCCTCCTTACGAACATCATCATCACCATTACAAACATCATCATCACCATTACGTCTTCGCTTGGCTTCATTACTCTTATCATCATCATGGCGATGATCCTGGTAATGATGATGATGATGATTGTGATCGCAGCTGTTACCAGCATCATCATCGTCATCGTTAGCATCATCGTTATGTGGAATTTTTACTAAAAGGCTTGGTTGTAATGTTTTTCTGTCTTGTTCTTGTTGTTGTTGTTGATGTTGTTGTTGGTGATGTTGTTGTTGATGTTGTTGTTGTTGATGTTGTTGTTGATGTTGTTGTTGTTGGCGCTGAGTTTTATTGAAAAGTTTATCTAAAAAACTCGTTCTAGAAGATATTGTTGTTGTTGATGTTGTTGTTGCTGATGATATTGCTGTTGTTGTTGGCTCAGAAACCAGTTTATTATTATTTTCATTATTATTATTAATTTTATTATTATTATTATCACCTCTATGATCATCATCAACTTTATTATCAATGTCATCATTACAATCTTTACTATTACTATTATTATTATTAGTAGTAGTAGTAGCAGCAGCAGCAGCAGTAGTAGTAGTAGTAGTAGTAGTAGTAGTAGTAGTAATAGTAGTAGTAGTAGTAGTAGTAGCAGTAGTTGATGTATTTTCTAAATTAACTTTAAACATTTTCCCTTCCTTCAAGTATAATAATAATAATAATTATAATAATTATAATAATAATAATAATAATTATAATAATAATAACAACAAATAGAAGAGATGGTAAATAAAACTGGAATTAAACTAATTAAGTTGATAAAATGAGATCCCACAGACCAATTAATAGTAATAATAATAATGATGATAATAATAATAATGATAATAACAATAATAATTATAATTATAAAGAAATCTAAAAATAAAATTAATTCAGCGAACAAACTAAAGAAAAAGTGGAATAAATTAGTTGGAAAATGAGCATAAATTATGCAAATTAGGCGAGCCCTAAGACAGAACTATATGCAAATTAGAATAAAATTGGCTGATTGGTTTGTTGATTGACTGGTTGGTTCGTTGATTGACTGAATAAATGATTGATTGATAAATGATTGATTGATTAATTGATTGATTGATTAATTGATCGATTGATTGATTGATCGGATGAAAATATATATTTTATACATAAACACACACACAAGCCTTCCTAAAATGTTAATTATTTAAAATTATGTTAATTAGTTACGCTTTTGGGCAATTATGTTAATGAGGTAGATCAATAAGGGATTATGTTAATTAGATGAATCGTATTAATCACTTAAACTTTCAACAGATCAGGCAAGCCAAAGAACTGACAGGGCACAAAACAGCTTACTAAATTATGTTAATCAGATGCGTTAATTTAAAATTATATTTAATGGGGATTATGTCGATTAGGAAGGCTAATACGAGTATTATGCTAATTAGGTAGACTTAGGCGGGAATTAACATAATAAATTATGCTAATGTGAAGTTAACGTTCTCTAGAGAAATTGAAGTGTGTGCAATGTAACTATTTACTAATTTCGAAATACGATGATGATGTTGATGATGATTATGAGGACGACGACGATGATAGATGGAAAAACAAAATAACTTAATAGCAATCGTTTGTCGTATTCGGTGTCAAATCAGTAGTCACTATCATCATCATTATCGTCATCATCATCATCATCATTATCGTCATCATCATCATCATCATTATCGTCATCATCATCATCATCATTATCGTCATCATCATCATCAACACCAACACTATCGCCACCATCATCATCATCACATCATCATTTCTGCGACATACTTACATTCTCCTCTTTAAACGAATAGGCCGATGGTTCAACATTATAGTCATTATTATTATTGTTATTGTTATTATTATTATTAGTAGTAGTAGTATCATTACTATCAGTGCAATCCTCGCACTTTGATTTGCTCTGGTAAGTTAAAGGTTTCCGTGTGAATGGGTCTGAGGTGCCTGGTTGGTTGGTTGGATGGTTGGTTGGATGGCTGGATGGATGGTTGATTGGTTGGTTGGTCGATTGGTTGGAAGTTTGGATGGACGGTTGATTGGTTGGATGGTTGGTTTGTTGATTGGATGGTTGGTTGGTCAATTAATTGGTTGATTGATTTGATGATCAAATGGTTGGTTGGTTCATTTGTAGAGTAGTAAGTTGATTGATTGATTGGTTTGCTGGATAACTTGGATGGTTTTTAGATTATTAGCTGATTGAACAGCTTTCTGACCGAACTAGTTAAACATCGAATGACAATTTAATCAACCAAACAAACGAGCCAGCCGACCAACCAATCGACCATCCAACCAGCTTACCAACCATCCAACCAACCAACCAACCAACCAATTAACCAACCAACCAACCAAAAAACCAACCAACTAACCAACCAATTAACCAACCAACCAACAAACCAACCAACCAACCAACCAGCCAACTTTTCAATCTTCCAGCCAACCAACCACCCAACCAACTTTTCAATCAAACAAAATTCCAGCCAACCAACCATCCAACCAGCCGACCAACCAATCGACCATTTAACCATCCAACCAACCAACCAACTTTTCAATCAAACAAACTTCCAGCCAATCAGCCAACCATAGAGATCGGGGCAAGGAAATGAAAAGATGCAACTCTTCGATGAAATGTCCACAACCGCTACACCAACATCTGTACCAATTGCTAGTCTACATGAGGGTAAGTATTATTATTATTAATATTATTATTATTAATATTATTATTATCATTATTCTTATCAAACACTTATAAAGCGCCTATTAAAATAAATATCTCTCACAAGCGCTATCGAAAAAAGAAAAAAATAATAAACGAAAAGTGAAATAATGTACATCCTATCAATAGACGATATGATACAATCAATTACAATCGTTCATCGCAAATAGATAAGTTCTCAAACTCTTCTTGAAATCAACAATGTTCATCTTTGACATTCTCATCGACATTGGCAGACTATTCCAGACGATTGATCCCGACACTGCAATGTCTCTAGACGATGTCTGCAGCTGCGTAGTTGGTACATTCAACAAATTGACGTCATCTGATCGCATGCGTCCGCCAGTCGAAGACAGCGGCTTCTTTATGAATCTATCAGCCAGGTATTCTGGGAGTTGTCCGTTTATGGCCTTGTACATAATGACGCATATTTTGTAAAAAATTCGTTTCTTCACTGTTAGCCAATGGAGGCTATTCAGAATTGGCGTCACATGATCGTATTTTCTGCCTCTAACAATCACCTTTGCAGCTCTGTTCTGAATAGACTGGAGGTCAGCGATAGACCTTCCTGGCAACCCGTAGAACAGACTGTTGCAATAATAATCCAAGCTCGAATGGACAAACCCATGTACCAATGATTGTGTTACAGTTTGATCCAGATATTTTCTTATTTGGTATATCCGTTGAAGTTGTGCTGAACATGATTTAGAGTGTGATTTTATGTGGTCACAAAGTTTCAATTCGGTGTCAACATTACATCCCAAATTAGTAGTATTGAATCTTGTGTGTATGTATGTATGTATGTGTATGAATGTTTGTATGTATGTGTGTGTGTGTTTGTGTGTATATATGTATGTGCGTATGTATATATGTACGTATGTATTATTATTATTATTATCAACAATTTATTAAGCCCATTATAAAATTAAAATTTCTCGAAAGCGCTCTCCATTATAAATGAAACCAGTGAAGGTCAATAAAGTACAAATCGATAAAGTATTTCTATGTCAAAATAAATATGTTTTTAAGTTCCTCTTAAAACCATCAAGCTTTAGTCCAGGCATTCTGAGCGATTGCGGAAGACTGTTCCAGGCAATTGGTCCTGACACGGCAATATTTCTAGTTGCAGTTTGTAGTTGAGTTGTTGTCACTGCCAGTAGGTTGGCATAGTCTGATCTCAATTTTACACCCGTTGAAGAAGCTGGTTTTTTAAGATTTTATTTACGAGATATACTGGTAACAACCCGTTCAAAGCCTTATGCATAGTCACACAAATCTTATAGTTGATTCTTTTTTTCACTGTTAGCCAATGTAGGTCTCTCAAAATGGGTGTCACATGGTCATACTTTCTACGTCCAACAGTTATTTTTGCAGCTCTATTCTGTATCGATTGAAGAAAAGCAATAGATCTCACTGGTAATCCATTAAACAAGATATTACAGTAGTCTAACCGTGAATAAACAAACGCATGAATTAGTGTTTGCATGGTTGTTTGATGTAAATATTTTCGAACGCGGCATAACTGGCAAAGCTGATAAGAACGTGATTTAGATATGGTTTTTATATGATCCTAGAAAGATAATCTCCAGTCTAAAATACATCCTAAGTTTGTTGCATTTTCACAGAATTGTATTTCATTATTATCAATTTTGACTGAATTAATATTAATTTTATAAAGCTGTTGCCATGTACCGACAGGTAAAAATTGAGTTTTATCTTGATTCAATTTGAGACAATTTCTTGACATCCATGTACCTTTTTAGTCAAGCATCCAATTAAATTTTCAACTTTACTTTTAAACAGTTCTGGTTCACTGCTAACTATTATTTGGATGTCATCATCGTACGCATGATATGAAAATCCAGAGGATTCTATTACTTCATAAACTTCAGCAGTGTACAGTGCAAATACATTTTATCAAATCAACAATGTCAAGCATTATATCAAACTTGGTATTGTCTGGTTGAAGCTTTTACTTTTCTTTCTTTTTTTATATTATCCAATTCAGAATAGAAAGTTTTTTAGCAACAAATAATTCTTCATGACTATAAAAATTTGAAACATTATTTTGAAACTTTTTATCGTCTAATTTATCCATATTGTCCAGAAAATACTATAAAACCTCTGAGACGAATAATTTTTTAGAAGCTATACTTTCAAAAATCACCACCACCACACCGTCTTCATCGTCATCATGATCACTAACAATCCGTATTTAGAACTGAGACTGATGGCTGTCACAGTGGCCTGCCGACGACCACTCCTCCACAGAAGCTGGCAGCAGAAGAGTGGCTTGTACCCTGGCTGCCACTGGACTGGTGTGAATTTCGTCGCCGGATATTTCTGCAGTTCCTATGGCAATTTGGGCAAATTTTAAAGCCCCTTGTTAAGTTTTGTGAACGAAACAGTGGCTCAGTGGTTAAAGGCGCCTGGTTATGTATGCCGTTGCAGTGACCCGGTTCGAATGCTCAAAGATCCCCGCCAATCATGTGCGATGTGTGTGATGCGTGTGGTTCTCTTCACGCGTGTTCATATGCGCTCTGTGTGTGTGTCTGTGCATGTATGTATGTGTGTGTGTGTGTGTGTGTGTGTGTGTGTGTGTGTGTGTGTGTGTGTGTGTGTGTGTGTGTGGTGAGTAAGTGTGTGTTAATATACGCTGTGTGTGCGTGTGTGTTTGTCGTTCAAACTACACAAGGGAAAATGTCCCTAAACCTTAATAAATGGATAAATAAATGAATGGACAAATGAACAATTAAATGAATGAGTGAATGAATGAATGATGAATGACTGAATAAATAAATGAATGAACGAACGAACGAACAAACAAGTGAGTAAATGAATGAAGAACGAACTAATGAGTGAGTAAATGAATGAGCGAACGAACGAACGAATAAACGAATGAACAACTGGTCACTATCACAATCATCGTATCCTAATAACCTCCTCATCCGATGGGGGCTTACTCATCGGCAGTTTAGGATCAAAATTTTCGTACGCAAGATGGATAGGGATGACCTTGAAGATGGTGATGATGGTGACGATCGTAATGATGATGATTATAGTAGTGATGATGATGGTGATGATGGTGACGATGATGACGATAGTAATGATGATGACTATAGTAGTGATGATGATGGTGACAACGACGCCAACAACAACATCAACAACAACAACAACATCAACAACATTAACAACAACAACAATAATAACAATAGCAAAATAATTAACCGGACAGTAATCACAGAACTCCTTCCTGGAGAACTCAAACACGATGACGTAGCTGGACCCGGAAACGGCCAGCAACTTGCTGACGTCACAAAATGAAATGTTAGTGACGGAAAACTGGGATGACGTCATCGTTGTGGTTGATGATGATGATGATGACGACGACGATGATTGAGTGGGCGGAAAATGATGATGATGACTGGGAGGGGGTGGAGATGATGATGATGATGACGTTGGTGAGGAAGCTTGGGTGTCAAATATCTTTGACGTCCTCAGTTTGAACAGGTGCTGTAAAGTGACTGGTTGGATGGTTGGTTGGATGGTTGGATGGATGGGGTTGGTTGGATGGGGTTGGTTGGATGGGGTCGGTTGGATGGTTGGTTGGTTGGATGGGGTTGGTTGGATGGT